ACTGTGACAGTATCTATCATACTTCAAACTATGGGAGATTTTTGCGCAAAAATTTTAATAGGGTTTGAAGAATAATATGTCTCTTATTTAACTTTATGCTTTTCATTAGGGGTGTTTCGAAAGAATTCTGGTATCGACAGTGTCATTAGTAAGTACATGTATAGGCTTCTGTCGCCTCTGTATTATATGGTCTGCAGAGCGAGACATCCCTTATTAACATTAGAATCATTTCATAATTGTGCACCATAAAATCAACACGATCTCTCTCTTCTCCATTTAAATTCGTAGTGCGAAGAAATCATATGTGCTAATGTTTACATTCCACAACCATGCGGTTTAAATGTCTCCGCCTATCTGCGGATACCTTAGATTCGAAAGTGGTACCGTTCAGATTTCCGGAAGTTAAGGCTTTCTTATGTTCTTTTCAATTACATTTTCTGTAATTATAGAAATATGTATGACAAAAAATTCTAAAAATAGAATCAAATGCATATGCTTGCACATTAATCATGGATTAATTGAGCGATATATTGTAATGTTAACCCTAAAATGTGTAGCCGAAAAGGATCCAAACGACGCACTTAAGTGAACTCATTCTTTGACCTTAAAAGTGGTAAGTTCATTTTTGTGAAATAGCGTATGAATAAACGTAACTGAAAAATCTTGCACATTAACTTACTTTTCAAAAAAGAAGTACCTTTACTATAACCCGTGTAACTTTGTTGCGCGAAATGATATCAAAATAATGAAAATATACAAGAAAAATTTTTCAATCTGTCACTATCAGAAGATAGCTTTGAGAGAAATCCATTTCTAAAAATGAATAAAAACCCTAGCTATTTCCTTTCCTGTACTAAGACATTAATTTTCGGGGGGAGGGGGTTGGCTGCTTCACGACAAATATTTTGATTTGATACAAATGGATCAATTAATTGTGACTTTTTTCTATTCTGCCGAATAATCAATAATGACATCATTACGTGTATATAATAGAAGGTTATTTCATATATATTTTACAGAGGATCGGAAAAAGCTATCTGCTTTACGGTTCTGTAAGTTATTTAATGTTTCATTTTCATTTTAATACTATTAAGATAAATAATAGATGCCCTTAAAAGAAACTGGAAAATTTTCAGCAAAAGTTCCATTTAAAGGGGCATGAACACAGTTTCGGCTAAAATCTAAAAATTTATTTTTCCATTTTACAAATATTTAACTAGGGCCTTTCTAATGATCATGAAAAATTTGAACGCCAGTTGTCCAGATACAAAACAGATTCAGAGCTCCAAACCTTTGTTATGTAAAAAAGGCTAGTGTCATGTTTTTGTATACAATGGTTAATAAACTAATAGATGTTCGTTTAAAGTACATGTACATAATTTCAAATAAAAGTTTATTTTATATACGATTCGATAATAACTATTGATTTGTGAATATTATCTTATTATAAATATTATATTTTCTATATGTAAACAAAAACAAGGCACGAGTCTTGTTTACATTATGAAGGACTTTATTTTATGTTATGAATCTTGTAAGTTAACCAACAAATGAATCTCGAATTTTTGCTAATCAATAGATGGTGCCTTAGGTAGGAATTGTAATCATTAAAATTGTTTTTAAAAAGTCAATTGAAACTGTGTTCAGGCCCTTTTAGGTAACGAAGCTAATTTTATATTATACGAAAAAAACCTTAAACTGTACCATGTTATGTTATATCGTATATTGTTAAAATAAGCTTCATTCCTTATTCTTTGATTCCAGTGGAGACAATAAGGCAACTTTCCTCCAAAACTGGTTTCGATTTGAGCATATTTTTGAAATAACGTTAAGCGGAATAATATGATGTTGATGTAATTCATTGAGACGTGACGTTGACATCTTATAATCAGTGGCGTAGCTAGCAAAATATCTACTGTATTAAAAAAGGCAAGGGGTCTGGGGGCCGCCTTGAGGCCCCCAGCGGGTCCAGGGCAGGGCCCTGGTGGGGGCCCAGGGGGCGAAGCCCCCGGAAGCTCATGGATTTTTAGGGTTTTATACATCAGAAAATTACCTTAAAAAGTTTAATTTTTACAATCATAGTTTTACCAAATATTAACAAAAAATTGCCGAGTTTTGACGATACACTTACAACTCCAAAATTCTTCTTTTTTTTTTTTTTTTTTTTTTTTTAAGCATTTCGTGTTATCCTGAAATAAGACAAAACATTTTCAACAGTGGAAATCTTGCAATAAGTATGTTTTCCGAAATCACAAACCTCGAATTTGTGAGGAGGATATAATTGATATTTTCACATTTTTTTTTTCCTAATGCAGTGTGAAAGTAACAATCAGAACGCAAAACCGTTTTGAAATTTTCTGACGAAAGAGAATTTATTATCAAAGGCAGGAAAACCTTTATAGGCAGAAAATTCAATGTTCTGCATAGTAGTTGCTACAAAATTTAGTTAGGCAGAAAAGTCAATGTTCTAAATAGTACTTGCTATAAAATTTATTTTACAAGTTAGGATTTTTTTTAATCATATATGAATTATACGAATTTATCTGAATTCTATATACCGCTTTATCCACACACCAAAAGGTATTCTCAACTTTACAATTCGCCCTTGAAATTCTAAAATGATTTTTTTTAAAACGATATGTACTCTGTATCAAAGATAGAAGCTTAATATATTACCGGTATTTTAATATATCTAGTACGTAGAGGTAAACAAATCGATGTTTTTTTTAATATAACCTATTTTAATTGAGTCTTGTATTGGACTTCTGACATGTTTTTCTTTCTTTTTTATCATTATTTCTTGTTAATTTTTGTGTGTGAAAAATCTGTGTATTCATTTGCGTTTTTGCGTAAAGGGCGCTACACCACTGATAATATGCGATATAAACTACACTGTAAAGCGTCTACCCAATCAAATGACGTGTCACAAGTACACCGAACTTGTATTGGAATGGATCAGATGTTTTTTTTATGCATTAACAGTTGTTCCCTCCCGGATATTTTCTTTTCGACATTCTTACGTATTTGGTCTAATTTGGACATCATACATGTATCTGTGGGGAAAAAATGAAAAATGAAATTAACTTTAAAAAATAGAAATTTTACATATCCGGTTACACATGTTTTAATTGGTATCAGTTTTCATACTGAATAGAAAGGTTTGAGTAACATCTGCTCTATTTTTTTCATATCCTTGTCGTCGCACGTGTGGTACACGTGCAGAGCATAGATTAAGTGCTTCACTTTAAGGGATTAATAAGTTTTTTCTTCCGCCACAGGCTCGAATCCATAGGGTAACTATAGTCCTGTAAAATGGAAAGAACCCTTTCGATTTTTAGTTAAAAATTTCAGAGGTCAAGGCCAAAAGTTCATACTGTATATTCTGTCTGTATAACACTTGTGCCAAAATATCTTCAAAAATCTTTCAGATTGTGCTATAAAATTTGACAAATTACAAATCTCCATTGCCTTGCGAAATTTATACTCATTACGGGGTAATCGTCAAGATCGGATTTCTTTTTTTTTTTTTTCTTTTTTGAAAATTTAGCTTTCAGATAATAAAATTAATTTGATGTAAGTTTTAAAAGTAATAAATAACTTTTGGTCGTGAGTTTGCCAACTTTAAAAAATCTCGTTGACTTTAAGGTCTCATAAATCACAGAACATTGAAAAATATTAATTCAAGATGAAGTTTATAATTTTTTATTTTCAGAAAAAATAATTCATGTATTAGCTAATGTTGTCATGTGAAATCAATTCTATTTATTGTTTTACAGAAAATTATCCCCATTTTAAGAAACATCTAGTTGATATTATTTCAAATTCTATAAGTAGTAATTCAAGTCTATATGCTGTTATATGCTTCATCATGTGATCAAGTTTTAGCCAATCATAGAGTTTGGAATAAATGATAAAGATAATATTGATCGAAAGCTTTTTACTAAGCCTACAAGTACATTGTAAATTGACTCAAACTCTCATAAACCATATCGCTATTTATATAGCTAAAATTGAAGTTTTATAACTGATCGTCAATAAACTTTACATAATATTTTTGATATTGTTGTGGAAAAATGTGTATGTGTCTGAAGATATCTGGATCTGTATGGTTAGATTCTAGAAAATAGAAGTCATTACCGGTATGCTTTCTTTAAACAGGATTGGGCCTATCCCCAAAACGGAATAGAATACTAGCTAGTATCTCTAATGGGCTACATGTATATGTCCAGAAAGGGAGATCCAAAAATATGCTTAAGTGACAAGGCGAATTTTGACTTTTCCCTAATAAAAAGATATTCCAAAGTACGTTCTCTTCCCAGGAATTATGATTGTACAGTGAACCCAAATTAATAAAAGACAAATGATATATAATCTACGCCATAATGAAGCAGAAGTTCAGAATTTGCATTGTGTGTCTCTTGTTTACTAGGACTTTTCATTTAAAAATTATTTAAAGTTAGACTGAATGATTGATGTTATGTTGCTTTACGTCAAATTCGAGAATTTTGCACTCATATATAGTTGTCACCATATTGTGGTGGCAGGATTCAAATTTTGACCTTTTCTCGGCACTCAGGACCATTTATCTTAATCAATGGTGCCAAAGTCTGTCGTAACACGGGGCTTCGATGTTTTAGGTCTCATTCGAAATGCCCACAACTTTCACTTCAGGTGCCGATTGCATGGCTAAGGAATAGTTTGCTACCCTTTTATCGACGCTGGTCAGTCGCGGCCAAGATTCGAACTCACGACCTCCCGATCACAGACCAAGGGCTCTACTGATTGAGCAACATTGAACAGTCTAACTCTTAGAGAGAGTACCTGAAAGTTATTATCTGAACACTTTAGTTTATAAAATCAAATTATTTAAGAGTTCTAGCCAGATATTCTAACTTGTCTATGTTTTTCCAACAGATTTGAATATTATTAATGTGCTCGATAAGTATTTCAGATCAAAAACAGATTTATTATCTTAATTGTGTCTAGTCTTTCTTTTTCAGAACGTACTTGAATTTTGAGAATCATGGACTACCTTACCTTTTTTATTTTGTTTGTTACATCATTGGTTTTGATACCTTCTAATGGAGTGGATGAAAAAGTAATGCCTTTAATCTCAAAATTACTGCTCCAAGTAAATGAGTTAGAAGAAAGAATGAAAATGCATGAAAGTATTATCAAGGATCAGGAGCTAGCTATTCTTAGATTAGTTGAAGAGAAGACCGACTGTTTTAAAATTCCTGTGAAGTGTAACGAAACGGAAACAAACGGAATTCAGCAGAGAGCTACATCAGGTTAGTTTCAACATTGTAAAAAATGAGGGGAAAATTACACTATTTACGTTAGTTGCAGCAGTCTTCCGACTATATTCTCCTCTATGCTTACAGACACTGTGAGGGTATCAGGTGTATGCTGATTACATTACGCTCCAATGATTTGTAAACGAATTATGCCCATTTTAATTTGTAACAGCTTTCCATATGTTTGCCTAAACTCCGCAGATAATGAGTGGTTTTATATGTGTGTGTATCTTGATGAATTAGGGCCGGTACACACAGTAAGCTTGTTTCATAAGTCATGGGACTTTTGTTCTAGCCTTACCGTGTGTACACCCTTAAGGACAGATGATACAAACTTTTGTCAAAAATTTTGAAAATAACAACTTGGGTGATGTTTTAATGAACAAGCATTCTGAGAGTATTGCATAATCAATATATGTCCCCTACCAGGTTCCCCCTTTTTTTCAGGATGTCATTTTATAATATGCAAAGGTTTTGTCCAAGGTAAAACTGCATGATTTTTAGGTTGTGAATGTCTTAAGCCTAATAAAATAATCCACATTAAGACGGAAATTCAACTCATTTTTCCAACGCCTTTTTCTCGCTTCATATCTATGTCGACCATCGGAAGTTAGCGCAACACGAACCCGATCTTAATACGAATGTGAAACATTCAAAATGCCATAATTCTGTCAAAAATTAATGAAGCGATGCAAAATTCAAACTTGATCTGTAACTCATCAAGATACACTCACATACAAAAATTCAGCTCAAAATCTGCAAGCCTTTAGCAAAAAAGTGCGGAAAATCAAGTGGGACAGACTGACAGATAGACGGGGACAGACGGATGGACGGACGGACAGCTAGACAGACGGACGGAGTCTACATTTAAGAAATGAATTTAATTTTTGAAGATTCATGAGGTTATGAACTACGACGCTTCACGCGTCGGCATATTTCATGACGCGCGTTGTAGCGCTTAATGATAAATATGCTGGCGTGAAGCGTTATAGTTCATATACCTCATGAATCTTCAAAAATTAATTTCAATTCTTATATTAACATTATTTTTCTGGATCTGGCTGCACGAACGATAGTTAAATTAACTTCACGTTAATGCCAAAACTTTTTTTAAAGATAAGTTACATAACTATCAGTTAAATTTTTGTTGTTCGAAAATCAATTAAAGTTAAAATTAGTTAACTCAGATTTAATTGATGTCTTATAGTTTATAACTCTCTGTTAAAATTGTTCGAAGCGTGCACTTCCCTTGCCTATGGTGAAAGATTATTGACGTCATAAGTAAAATGGCGTCAATTTGTAAATGTGAATTTGCTAAGGAAATTTGACTTGATATATGCCATCCTTTTATCAGAGATTGCTTAATATATTATTAAAAGTAGTTTCTTCTAGCATGAATTTAACATTAGAATATCAATTTGCACGCAATATAAACAATACAGTTACAACAAATACTTGTATGTGTAGTTTTTTCTGTATTTAATTCTAACACGAGGCGTTGAATTTGAAACTAAAAATAATAATAAAATAAATAAATAACTCTCTAAAAAAAAGGAATGGAACACCCTCTCCCTTCTTCATTTTTTGTGTCTGGGGTTCAAGGAAAAAACGTTTCTATCAACTTACATGTACATATACGTATCAATATATTGACACAGCCCTAATAATGCAATCGTGCCTAAATTGAAATCAGGATCAAATGTGTGTTTTGCTCATGTCATACATTTATATTATCTCTATAAAACTTCGTCCTTCACGGCAAACAAGTTTTGAAATGATAACAATTCCACAATTTTGATTTTATTGTTTAATTAAAGATTTAATGTACCTATGTAATTTTTAAAAGTTAAATCTGTTTGTTAATTCACAAAATTAACTAAGGTTTAACTGGTAGTTAAATTTCGGGCAACCGATTTAACTCGCTGTTAATTTTAATGTCGCGTTAACGCAAAGTTAACGGCTAATTAAATTTAACTCTCGTTCGTGCAACCGAATCCTGATGAGTAGCCACAAATTTACGCAATTCAACTGTCATTTTTAAAGCAAAACAATTTGCACTATAGTTTTACGTCAAGTGCGGTATTGTGACGTGACCATGGAGATATTCATGCGCATCCATGGTAGTTCATGAGAAAATGAACAATGCTCCTAATTGTAAAGAATCTTAAGGAAACTTATTTGAAAATGTAAATATTATGTTTTGCTTCAATAATTTTTTATTTGTTATTTCAGGTGGTGGTGTGGCCTTTAATGCATATATGGGACAGAGCATGGAAAATCCTGTTGCAGGGCAAGCAATTATATTTTATAAAGTTGTCACTAACATTGGTGGACATTACAATAAACAAACTGGAATCTTCACGTCACCAGACAACGGGGTTTACGTTTTCTCTTGGACTATATACTGCGAACCTAATGGCTATATATACACAGACTTGGTTGTTAATTCAAGACCATATGGTCAAATGCAATGCAAGGCTGGAATTTCGCGCAATTCAATCACGGGGGTAACAGTTGCTGCAATAAAGCAAGGCGATGTCGTGTTTGTCAGTACAGAATGGTATAAGGGTAGAATAGAGAGCTTTAGCAACGTTAGATCATCTTTCAGTGGATGGAAGATATTTTGAATTGATTTATTTCAAATGTGACCGCATCGTAAAAAAAAATTAAATATTTTCAAAGAGTTCTGCTTTAATTTTAATATTTGAAAGACATGCATATGTAGCAGTTTTTCCTTTTTTTCCAATTTGCTTAACAAAGAAACTTAGAAAGTTGAAAAAATGTTGGAGCTGCTTTTTAATTATTGATAAACAAAATGATAAAACCAGAATATCAGCAGTCTTGTTTAAAGTCATCATTTCCTAAGTTCTATGCTTGATACAATGACATGGTCAGTAATTACAATTTCTCAGTGAGTAAGATGCTGACTGATTTTTTCTTACTAATTGTTAGTCCAATAATTTTTACGACAGATTTTTCCTTCAATTTCTCGATGATAACAAGGAGCACACAGCGGGTGTGACTTGTCGGCAGGGATACTCACTCCTCCATGGCACATGATCCCACCTCTGATGTTTTGAGGTCCGTGTTTGCGCTGCTCTTATTTTGTATTGTTTTATATACTTTTGATCTTATATATTGTTCGTTATCTCCATCTGTTTCATTATAGCCTAACAACAATGCTTTATTGTAATCGTGATGACCTTCAACTTACTTTTCAATCGTCAATACGAAACATGGAAGCACGGGGTAAGAAGGCAGTCCATGTTTCGTTATTTTTAGAAAAAACATCCTGTATTATTATTGAAATTCTCTGATAGAAAGCAATTGCATTACAAGTGCTCTGAATTTTCTATACTTATTATCATTTTTACAGGTAAAAGTAGCAACAGTATTAGGATTTTCTACACATTTTATTTAATTGAAAAGAAGACACCAAGATATCTTTCTTTTTGTGTAATATACAGCGACAACAAGGTTTGAACAGTTTTTAATCAAAAAGAACCAAATATATTCAAATAATAAAAGCAAATAGTTTATTATAAAATGAAGGACTGAAGAAGCTACTTCGACAGACAGTATAAACAAATATAGCATAGAACTTAGAAGTTTTATCTAAATCTTATTGTTACTCTGCTCAAATAACTAATTTTTCTATGTAATTCCACCCATCCAGTCCTAAACTTCAATGTGTATTGACCAAAATAAACTTTGAAACATGGCATAAAAATAACACCGATAGCAGCATACGTCTTTGTGTCTAGAAACCAGGAAATGCTGTCTGGTGGCTTCTAAATTTCAAAATTTTTCCGGGGGGGGCATGCCCCCGGAAACCCCTAGCAGGCTCACGCCTTCGGCGTTCGCCACATGGTACCTCCTATTTTTGATAAAGTACCACCTGGTTCAAATCTTTTTGAAAGCCCTGCTTCGTACACGTCATACAAGTCCTGTTTTCAGTACTTATAAATCTTACACATGTATAGGGTTTCTTGTATCTTTAGTCATTCCGGATGTGACTGTTCGGCAGGGGATGCTCACTCCTCCGTGCCACCTGAACCCAACGCTGATATTTTGGAGGTCCATGATTGCTCTGCTTCTATATTGTATTGTTTTATGAACTTTTGATGTTGAATGCTATTCGTTATCTCCATATGTTTCATGTTCCAAGAACAATATGTTTTTCTTCATGCAATTAAATAAATAGGAGGCCCAGGGGCTACATCGCCCACCTGAGCAATTGGCTAGGAAAAAGCACATATCAGATCAAAACTGAAAGTTTACTGAGGTTGGGGGGGAGCTTGAATTTTAACCCAAAAGGGAGTCATGCTTTGAACAAACTAGAATCTACACTTCCTGAGGATGATTCCATATAAATATCACTAAGCATGGCTTTGAAGTACTTGAAAAGAAGATTTTAAAAGGTTTCTCTATATATTCCTATGTGAAACGTTTATTGTCCATTTTGGCCCCACCCTACCCCCGGGGGTCATGATTTGAACAAATCCTGAATCTACACTACCTGAGGATGATTCCACAGGAATTTCATCTTTTCTAGCCCAGTGGTTCTTAAGAAAAAGATTTTTAAGATTTTTCTTATATATTCCTATGTTAAACTTTGATCGGCCATTTTGGCCCCACCCTACCCCGGGAGTCATGATTTGAACAAATTCGTATCTACACTACCTGAAGATGATTCAACATGAGTTTCACCTTTCCTGCTCCAGTGATTCTTGATAAGAAGATTTTAAAAGATTTTTCCTATACATTCCGATGTAAAACTTTTATAAGCCATTATGGCCCCACCCTACCCCGGGGGTCATGATTTGAATTTACAAACTTGAATCTACACTACCTGAGGATGGTTCTTGGAAAGAAGATTTTTAAAGATTTTTCCTATATAGTCCTATGTAAATCCTTTCTCGCCTATTTGGCTTCACCTTTCCCCCGGGGGCCATGATTTGTACAAAATCGAATCTAAACTCCTAATAACGATTCCACCGGAGTTTCATCTTTCCTGGCCCAGTGGTTCTTGAGACGAAGATTTTTTTTAAATGCCTTGAATTTTTCTCAAATTCATAATTATTTCACCTTGGAAAAGGGCGAGGCCCTTCATTTGAACAAACTTGAATCCCCTTTACTCAAGAATACTTTGTAGCAAGTTTGGTAAAAATTGGCCCAGTGGTTCTTGAGAAGAAGATGAAAATGTGAAAAGTTTACAACAACAACGACGACAACGACAACATCGACAGACAACGGACAAATTTTGATCAAAAAAGCTCACTTGAGCCTTAGGCTCAGGTGAGCTAAAAATTCAGTAGTAAATTATATTGAAAGATTTGAGAAAGTAGAAACAAATATGAGTGTGTATGTTTATCTCAATATGGAGGGAAAATGCATAATATATTTTACTTAATACTTAATACATTGAAGAAGCTGTTGGACCGAAATTTGAAGTTTAAAGATACATTAATGATATACATGTACATGGTACCATGACGACTTTCAATAAAAAAAACTAGACACTTTAATGTAATGTCAATTTGAGAAACTTTTTACACAAAAATGGTAATACAGAAAAACAATCTGATTCCATTTACATCAAAGGGCACTTGTACCTTAGCTTCTCCAGCAAAAGCAGTATACATCACCGACATGGAGCATGCCGAGTTGGTTTTATGAAAGGAATCATGAAGAAGTCTGTGAGCTAATGCTCACTAATAATAATATTACTCCCGCTCTGATCTGAATATACACTATCATGTTACTACTTGTATTTTTATAAAATGATCAGGAATTTGGTGCTCTCTGATTGGTCTAGACGCCTTTTCATTAGATGTACCTCAGAGTGAGTTCACCTAATATGACGTTCTGGGGGGTTTATTCGGGTTTTCCCTCTTGATCAACCATAGATTTGCTTACAGTTTTTTCGACCAATCCGATTGCGTGTGTCAAAGCATATGTCGGTGTGAATGTGAACATGTCAGACGCCAGTACCAAGGATTGATTGATTGATTGTATACTGTTTAACGTCCCTCTCCAGAATATTTCACTGATATGGAGACGTCACCATTGCCGGTGAAGGGCTGCAAATTTAGGCCTATGCTCGGCACTCAGGGCCATTGAGCAGGGAGGGATCTTTATCGTGCCACACCTGCTGTGACACGGGGCCTCGGTTTATACGGTCTCATCCGAAGGACCGCCCCATTTAGTCGCCTTTTACGACAAGCAAGGGGGTACTGAGGACCTATTCTAACCCGGATCCCCACGGGGTCAGTACCAAGGAGATAAAACGCATATGAAAGTAAATGGTTGAGTATTGATTGTTTAATAATTATATTGTTTTCCATTTTTAACTACTAGTTGTTAAGCTGTTGAAGTATAACAACATTTGAGAATATTTAATTTTTTGGTCGGCAACCCCTCCCTTTAACAATTTAAGCGTACATTGTATATTTGATAATTTAACAGATTCCATGGAATCTGTTAAAATATCAAATATACAATGTACGCATAAATTGTGAAAGGGAGGGGTTGCACACTGTTTTTTTTCTAAGATCGATACACGGAATAAACCATTCTCATGGGTTTACCAATTTGTTAAAGATACTTCAGTCTGCGACTGAAGTATCTTTAACAAATTGGTAAACTCATGAGAATGGTTTATTCCGTGTATCGATCTTAGAAAAAAAAACAACAAACAAATATATCAATTTAAATTTTACATTATTTCTTTGGTCTTGTTGAAATGGATCGATATATAAACTATACAGTATTGATTTTTTTTTCTTCTAACAGCTACATTTATTATAAACTATTATAGACATTTATAAATACTGGTAGATGTTTTATGTTATTTGAATTAAAAAACAGATAAATGTGTAAACTATATGTGTTCTTCGGGCGACTCAGTTACAATGAATGTCGAAAAAGATAAAAAAAAAAAAAATCTCAGAATGCATTTACATGCTTAGATTATAACGTCTACCCCCTCTCTTTCTCTTTTTACCCCCACCCCCACCCCCTTCCCTTTTTTTTTAATTTCTAAAATATAAAGGGTTGATTTCAACCATTACCACCCCACCCCCCCCCCCCCCTCGTTTATTGAACCTGCTTTTCCGCGATTTTATTTCCGCAATTTGTTTTAAACAGATAAAATAAAGCAGACATTTATTAATGTAACAGCTTTCACATATGCAATAATATAACAGGATCGACAGTATCTTCCACGCCATTATAGCTTACTTGCACGCGTACTACATGTAAGAACAATAACTCTAACATACTGCGAGGGTTGATCCACACAACTTCAATAAAATTGCTACTTGTCGACGAACAACAACATAATTATAAATGATGGAAGCTATATTTATTTCAATTCAGACTTGAAAATTTTAATTCAAAATAAATAATACTTTTTTTTTAAATAAAGAATTACATGTATAATGTGCGAATTTAGTAGTCGCCGCATCTAAATAACGTCATGTTATGGATACTCGCCGTCATACTAAACGTTTTCCAATTAAAACAAAAATAAGATTTCCTTCCAACTTCTCTTCTTTCAGTCTTCCTGTATTCTGATAATATTAATAATTCAATGACCTATCACACTCCCTAAAATCGCTGAGATCATCTATAATCAAGACTCTTCTTTACTTTTTTTTATCATTGTGAGTCTTATCAAA